CTCCTGCCCTTCTCTTCCTTCCTTCACTTTTATTTTTCCTTCCTCTCATTTTCCCCTTCTTTCTCCCTCCTTCCCTCCCTCCTCTCCCTTCCTTCACTTTCATTTTTCCTTCCTCTAATTTTCCCCTTCCTTCTTCCTCCCTCCCGCCCTTCTCTCCCTTCCTTTTCTTTTATTTTTCCTTCCTCTCATTTTCCCCTTCCTTCTCCCTCCCTCCCTCCCTCCTCTCCTCTTTTATTTTTCCTTCCTCATTTTCCCCTTCCTTCTTCCTTCCTCCCTCTCTCCTGCCCTTCTCTCCCTTCCTTCTCTTTTATTTTTCCTTCCTCCAATCTTTCCCCTCCCACTCTTTCTCCCTTCCTTCTCCCCTGATATCTTGAGCCACGCCGATGTTGAAATATAGGTAGTCCCCTCGACTTATGACGCCAACTGAGCCCAACGTTTCTGTTATTAAGTAAGACATTTATTCAGTGAGTTTTGCCCTGTTTTACGAACTTTCCTGCCTCAGTCATTAAGTGAAACTACAGCTTTTAAAGTTCATAACATGGCTATTAAATGAATCTGGCTTCCCCATGGATTGTCCAAAGGTCGCCAAAGGGGATCACATGACCCCCAGGACACACTGCAACCGTCGTAAATATGAGTCAGTTTCCAAGCGTCTGAATTTTGATCACGCGACTGAGGGAATGCTGCAATGGCCGTATGTGTGAAACACAGCCACGTCACCTTTTTTTCCAGTGCCATTGTAACTTTGAACAAACTGTTGTAAGTCGAGGTCTACCTGTAAGGATGACCATAGTCCTAGAGAAGGATGAGCAGAACATTGGCGCCACCTGGTGGCTGAAATTGCTAAATGTGCCAGAGAAACAATTTGCCAGACTTAATTCTGGAACTACAAGGAGGGACAGAACCAGGTTGAGATCAATGGGCAATTTGCAGTCAATGAGTAATTTGCAGTCAGTGGCCAAAGGGAGGTGTGATGACCCAAAGGGGCGTGGCACCAAGGTAACAGAGTCAGATAATCAGTAGGAGTCTCTTTATTAGCTCCAACTTTGCCCACAAAGTCCTGGTTACCTTCAAGCTAGAGAAATACTCTCCCAGGAACAGCCTTTGGCTGCAGAGAGTCCAAAATTTGGTCAACAAAAACTGGAACTATAAGTCCAAGCAAGGCAAGAGGAGGTAATTAGTCCACCAGGGCAAGAGAAGGAATTCCAGATGTGAAGGCAGTAACTCAACCCAGTTGGGAGGACGCCAGGAACACAGTTAACCAAAGTCAACACAAGATAAACTCATGTTTGTTCCCAGCAGATGCCACTCTCAGCTTGCATCTTCTTTAAACTCTCTTCCCAGGTGTGGCTAATGAAGGGAATCAGGGCCCTTTCCTCCCCTGTAAGCCACACCACCCACGTTGCTCCCTTCTCCGTTCCTCCCCGCGTGCCCTAGGATGAAGAGGGGGTGGGCCTGGGTCTTCCTCTGAACTCCCTCTCCCTTGTTCTATCTCACCCCTGCTCTGCCCAGCTGGACTTTGCCCTTCCCCTGATTCCTCCACAGCCAACGGAGCCACACTCCCGCTCCCTGCCGGCTGTTCGTCTTCCTCCTCGGATTCAGACTCTGACAGGGGCATGACAGGAGGCTTCTGAGCTCTGCATGGCCTGTCTGGATTCTGACTGTAAGCACCGGATGGGTAGGTTGGAAAAGCCACAAAGATTTGGCCCACGGTTCTTCAAACTTTTCAGCAGGACCCCTGGTTAACAGAATAACAGAGTTAGAAGGAACCTTGAAGGTCTTCTAGTCCAACCCTTGCTCAAGCAGGACACCCTATCCCATTTCAGACAAATGGCTGTCCACAGTCTTTTCTTAAAAGCCTCCAGTGATGGAGCATCCACAACTTCTGGTGGCAAGCTGTTCCACTCGTTAATCGTTCTAACAGTTTTCTACCTTCTATACAGATAAGGAACAAAATAAGGATAGTATTAAATGTATTAGAATACTATGAGGCCCACCCGGGAAAGCAGGCAGTATTGATTTTCTTGGATGCTCAGAAGGCCTTCAACAATCTCAGCTGGCAGTTCTTGATCCAACAGGTCAAAAATATGGGATTTGGATCTAAATTCAAGAAAATGATTGGCACAATTTATTCGAACCCAAAAGCTAGGGTAATTATAAATGGGGAGATTACCGAAAACTTTAAGATTATGAAAGGTGTTAGGCAGGGATGTCCAATGTCGCCTCTGCTTTTTATCTTGACATCGAAGTGCTTTTAAATCAGATTAGACAAAGAAAGGAGATAATTGGACTGAAGAGCAAAAAAGAAGAATATAAAGTACAGGCGTTTGCAGACGACTTAGTGGTTTTTGTGGAAGATCCAATGGAGTCAGGGACCTATCTAATTCAAGAATTAGAAGAATATGAGGCGGTAGCAGGACTAAAAATTAATAAAGATAAAACAAAAGTAATAACTAAAAACTTGATAGAAAGTCAAAAAAAATTGGAAAGGAAATTGGGATTACAGTGTCAAAAAACTTAAATATCTAGGAATTTGGTTAACAGGAAGATGCTCTTCCATAAAAGAGGATAATTATATGAAATTACTTTCACAGATAAAGAAAGATCTGGCCAATTAGGGAAAATTACAACTATCACTATTAGGCCGAATAGTGGCCATAAAAATGAACATACTACTGGAACTATTATACTATTTTCAAACAATACCTATAAAATTGGATAAGAAATTTTCTCAGGAATTAGATAGGACGGTAATGAAATTTATATGGATGGGGAAAAAAGCACGAATAAAATTGAAAATGTTACAAGATAGTAGAACCAGAGGCGGCCTTGGACTCCCAAAATGGGAAACATATTATCAAGCAGCAATTTTACTATGGGTTAAGGAGTGGATAAACTTAAAAAATAAAAGAATTTTGGCGATAGAAGGTCATGACCTCCAAATTGGGTGGCATGCCTTTCTATGGGATAAAAAGAATAAGATCCACTCCTATTTCCATAGACATTTGATAAGGGACTCACTTTTACAAACATGGGAGAAAATAAAAAAAGCATTATTTGAAAAGACCAAACTGGATCTCACCTATGGAAGCTATATTATATCCAAATACAAGGGACGTTAAAAAAAATGATTAGATATAAAGAGTTGGTAGATGAACAGGGGGAATTAAAAACACTGGATAAACTAAAAGAACAAGGGATAATATTAGATGTGGGTATATTTGCAAATTCAAACTAAATTTAAGAAAGATGTAAAGGAGCGAGGGATAGATAAAGATTTACAAAAATTGGACCAAATCTTGACAGGCAAGGATATAAAATTTATAACACGAACATATAATTATTTACTGGAGGTAGAACTAGAGGAGGAAATTGTTAAGGGACCAATGATTGCCTGGGCGAGAAACGTGGGTCATAATATAAATTTGGATGAGTGGGAAAAGACTTGGACTGAGAACTGGAAGCTGACTTTGTTGACGGCATTCAAAGAAAATCAATATAAAATGTTTTGTAGATGGCACTTAGCGCTGGCATGACTGGAGAAAATGTATCCAACCTTGAAACCAGAATGCCGGAAGTGCAAACAAAAGAAAGGAACGTTTTTTCTATATGTGGTGGCCATGTATAGAGGTCAAAAAATACTGGAAGAAAATACAGAGATGGCTCTTTGAGATTACAAAATATAAATTGAATTTGGAATCTGAAACATTTTTATTAGGTATGATCAAAGGGAATTTGAGTAAAGATAAAAGATACCTTATTGCACACATCTTAACTGCAGCAAGAATCACATTAGCACAAAATTGGAAGAGTGATAAAATACCACCAGATGAAGTTTTGATTCGAAAAATAATGGACTGCGCTGAACTAGA